CTTGCCCCGCCATAAGTACCGTAAAGTTAATTTTAGCAGGGCAAGTTAATTTACATAAGTTACTTTTGATGGCACCACGAAATAGTCCTGAAGTCCACCTCATGATTTCTACTGCAGGTGAGTGTCGTGAAATCCACCCGCTCTGGTTAATGATCGAGGTGACGATAGTTCCGCGTCTTAACCGCGCTGAAAATTGTGATCGTAGCTCGCACGGCGGATGTACACCGTAACGCTACGCCAAAGGTATCTTTTGTTAGTTCGATCGCGCTGCGGGTCTGACGCGCGATGCAGGGCAAGCATGCTAACCAAATGCTAAATAGCAGATGCGAATGGCGCGCTTTGCCCACGCCTTTGGGGCGCGACAGCGGTCATAGCGCGGGATCCGATCTTACGGCCGCGGGTTGGGTTTCATTTCTAAAATAACCGTCAGTGCTCTGGATCTGACTCAATGGGCCGACAAAGCTGACGGTGCCCGTTTTCTCGTATTCGCATTGGAAAAGACACTGAGGCCTTCGAACCAAACGAGTGGCCCATGAGAATTTCCCGCGCACCTTCGTACATCTGGGATGGCATGATGATAAATAGAAGTCCTTCGGCGAGTCGTTGCATATAAATATTGAACGCCAAGTTTTGAAGATTCAGAAGGAATATTTCTTGAATTGCCTTGGGCTCACTTTTTTTTTCCAGTTTCTTTCTTTTTAGGTTCTTCGATCTGGATCATGACCGCATGGCAGCCTCCCTCAGCCTCAGCCTGCCTGAGCGGGCGCCGAATCATTTCCGAATCATTCCGAGGCGTTGCGCCGGCATCTTCGGCAAGCCTTAAAGAGAAATTCCTACAAAGAAGGGTCGGGCCGCGCCTGTCAAGTCGTCGCGGGATGCCGTACGTCCTCCCATGCCCGTGAAATTATGTCGTGTATGTCTTACCTTTTCTTTGCCTTCTATACGTTTTTTACTTGTCCGACTTTTTCAGAGTTGTACGGAAAGGCGCACGTTTGCTTAGCTTTTTTCCTTCTCGACGCAACTCTATACGTTGATCCTGCAACGCTGACGTAAATGCACCGCTAGATCAAGATGTGGAGATGGGATCATTGCTTGGATCACATCCTCCCCCTGTATCGTCGCGGTGGTTTCACGGATGCTGATGAGCCGTGCTGGCCAAGGCCCCGCTCTTCCTCCTACCACGCCCACGCATGTGGCTACTACACTCGTTTTTAAATTTCAGCCCACAAGCACCCGTCACACTCGTCCTCCTCATCCTCCTCGCGTCCTCTTGCGACTATGCCACCGGCGCGGTAACCACGACCAAGATCGACGATTCCGACCCTCGCTTCAGCTTCCCCTCCAACTGGAACGTGATAACCCCCTCCGATCCATGCAGCGGGTGCGGCACTCAACCCGACGATATCACGCAGATATACGAGGGGACATGGCACGACGGGAGCTACATGGCGGGGGATTCTGAGAAGACAACAGGGTCGTTCACGTTTACAGGTCACTCCAATTGAATCACCGCCGGGAGGAACTAACGAACGATTCGTGGTCAGGCTCCGCGGTGGAGATCTACGGTATCGACTCGGATCGCTCGCAGGCCAACATCGTATTCACGCTCGAAGGCAAGACGTCGACGCATCACTATAGCGGGTCGACCCGCTTTGAGTACAACAAACTGTTCTTCTCCGCGTCGGACCTCGCGGCGGACCAGTCGCACACTGTCACCTGGGTGCTTGAGACAGAGTCAACCGAGGCCGCCGCAGGCATCAACCTGCAGGAGGCACTGTTTGACTACGCGATCATCACCAGCGGCACAGCGGACACCACCACTACAACTGGCTCTGGCAATACCGGCAACACTGGCAACACCGGCAACACTGGCAACACCGGCAACACCGGTACCACCACGGGATCCAGCACCAACACCAACACGGGCACCACCACCAACACCAACACGGGTTCCAGCACCAACACGGGGTCCAGCTCAAACACTGGCTCCACGTCTAATTCTGATTCCAGCGGGGACGCGAGCTCCGGAAAATCGAGCACTGGAACTACTTCTTCAGTCGCGGCGGGTGCAGCGGGCGCGTCTCACAGCAGTTCCGCCTCCACTGACAGGTGCGCAACGCCCGTCTGTTGCGTCGGATTCTCCGTGTTGCATACAGCTGACGAACCGCTGAAGGAATAACGCCCACTCTGGCTCTTCAACGTAAGTATTCGCGTATTGTGTCGGGATGATGGCTCATGGGCTCGTATTTATATTAGATCTTCTGCTTCATCAACGTGCGTTTGTTTTCCTTGATTATTTTGCATGTGTCTCGGTTCTCACCGGAAATCGCATCCCGCGTAGTGGCGCAGCCTTGTAAGCATTCTGCATCTAAATCCCTTTCCTCGCGCACCCTCGCTGACGCTGCCCGTAGGGGCTCCTCGCCGCAAACAACGTGCGCATTCTCTGACTAACCCGCGTCCAGCCATTGATCGCACAGCAGCAGCGGTACTCAACCTAGCTCCAGCCTATCATCCGCGTACGTTCCTCCCCATCCCGCCTATTTGCGTCCCGACGTTTAACCCACATGCAGATCCGCTAACAAGTCCGTATATCCCCGCACGAAACTCCGAGCCTACTAATCACTCAATGTCTATAGCAGCGGCTCAGATTCCGGGCAGTCCAATAACTCTCCCGCGGGTGCCACCACGCAATCGAAGGCGCCCGTGCCGATCGGTGCTATCGTCGGCGGGGTGGTCGGCGCACTAGTCCTCGGCGTCCTCGCGGCCGTCGCCTTCTTCGTGTGCCGACGTCGGCGACAGCGACAGCGTGAGGCTCACACCCAGCTTGCGGACGGTACCGCACCCCCACCCGCCACGCGCGCGCGTCGCGTGCGCGGCAATTACGTCGTGCAGCCCTTCATCGCCGACGCCGCCGCCGCCTCTGTATCTACCTCTGCGCCCGCGTCCGCCTCCGAGAAAACATGTACGTTCGCTCTTCGTTCGTTTTCTGTGCGGAGTTGTTGAGGCCTTGAGTAGACGACGTAGCGTGGAACCACCCGGGGCAGTCGCAGCTGTCGCTCCTCCCGACCCTGGCAGCGCAGCCTGCGCCGCCTGTGGGCGAGACTTCGGAGCCCGAGCCCACCGCGCGGGAGCGCCTGCTCGAGGCGCGGTTGGCCCAACTCGAGGCGCGCATCGTTGTCGACGACTCAACACCGGCGCCCGGGGCGCCCCCGCCGTACGTCCCCTCGTAGCGACACACGGCTTGCCCCTATACATTTACGCGGGCTTCCGCTACATCTACGCACACACACGCTCTCCGAAAATGCCGCACTTACACCTAACTTATATCCTTCTGCGCTCGTGTAATTCAGTCGATGGGGCAATACGGACAACGCGCTTGGTGTACTTTGAGCTGGCAATCGTGTACATACATATGGATGCGCTGTTCGTGGGGCCGTTTTACTGCGATACAGGGGTCCTCGAGAGACGTTGGTGCACCTTGCATTTGGACGTAAGACTGATAAGAATTCATCCGCACTCATTCGGAAGTGAACACACTCCTACGAGCGACGCTTTGCTGCTGGGATGCTCCACCACTTGGCTTTATATGGATGAACACGAGATACGGGAATGGTCATGAGAATGCCTACTCAATTTCCTCCCCTTGTACCGCGCGAGATTTTTTGTGCGGAGGTGAGCTCGATTTACAGGAGGTCGGGATGGAGAGGTCAGCGACGGTTTCCGGCGGCATCGATTTGGCCATGGTTTTGCAAATTTCTGCACTGAAGAAAAAGATGAAATACGATATTACAGCGTTTCCTGAAAATAACGGCAAAACTCTCTTCTCTCGCCGTTGTCGGTGTTTCTCGCCATCTGACCTCAAATACAACTTCCCGAAACCTCTAACTATGCATCATAGATGATTAGATACACCATGTAAGCTTCATTTCGCATTGAGTCCGTTGATGGCGATGCAAATGAAGACCTCACAGCGGCCATCCTCAGGTCTCCAGCACGTGGCCGCCCACCAAGAAGCCTGTGATTCTTCTGTGTTTATTATGTCTCGCTTTCCTGCCCCACACCCGTGGTGCAGCCCAGTTCCTGGCCCTCTTTGCGCGGCGTGGGCTGGTTTTGCCAGTACCATGACGGGAAGACGCCGCATCACTCTTAGAGGATGGTCACGAATCAATCGCTCCCATCCCCCGGACTGTACCATTGTGAGGTGCTGCTGGGCAGACACACTGGGATTTCGAGTAACAGCCTAGAGGAACACGGCATACTGCTACGCGCGACAGTGTGCCTTTCGCAGGCCCTCTCCGCGGGCCGTTGGATTATGAGCTGTTAGAATTATGACGCACAGCCTTGTACCCATTGAACGGCCCGCGGTCCGAGTAGCGCAAGCCGCGCCCTGTGCAAGGCCATTTTCCCTCGGACTCATATTCAGTTTTATTCCGTCAATTGATCCCTTTGCGCGTTTGCAGGGGTCTTCTGCTACAACTCGACTCTCGAGTAAGAGTGAGTGACGGTGAGCACCATCATTTCAACAGAGTGTATGTTACTGTGCTGTGTAGAGCACAAAATCGAAACCATGCAAAACTTGGAGTAATCAAAGTGTTAGAGTGCACGGCGCAGAGGAGGACATTTGCACAGTGCTCTTAACTTAGCATATGTACATACTATCAGTACCAAGGGTACGGGCAGAACTGCCTTTGCACTGCTAGTGGCCGAGAGCCATCCTAGAACTGTGGCGGTCACAAACGAGAGCAGAACATACCAATTTCCTTTCTGGGAAACTGCGAAAAAAAAAAGATGTTTGCCATTGTTTTCGGGAAACGCTGTAATCCAACTCATCGGCCCCTTTTTACGCCTCTTTATTTTTCACGAAGGTTTTTCACGGCCCCTAGTTTCTCACCGACGGTTTCCGTCGGCGACACGTCGACCATATGATCCCAAACATCGATATCCCTGAAAAAAAAGATGATATACAGGATTAAGGCCTTTTTGAAGTCAAATATTCAAAATGCCCCCTGGCCCAGTTGGTGAAGGCGCACGACTGTTATTTAGAGCTCGGTAATCTGCTTTGCGACATCGTGAGATCGAGAGTTCGAGCCTCTCGGGGGCAGTTGTTTTTACTCGTTTTACTCGTTTACTCGTTTTACGAGTGAGTGAGCGCTGAGCTGATTACGCTGTAGCTAGCGGAGACAATTGTGTGATTAAATTTTCTCCTTCAACCTCCAGCCTGCTCACGACATTTCCATTTTAGGGTCAGGGACGAAGGAGTACATAAACTGCCTGTAGTACTCCGGGATACTTCCTGAAACCGGCATTCTGACGCGGGACCGTGCCGTGTAATGCTACCTACCTACCTACCTACCTACCTACCATTGAATTAATGGTGGAGGGCAGCTCAGAGAAATGGCAACACACACTTGGAGCTCACCGAGGCTCTTAGTTGAGTTGCTAACAATGACTGCCGGGGGTCGCTGTGATAATTGATTCTGGGTGTTATACTTAAGCTTACTAGAGATATGATTGTATGGTCTGTGTCCAAGCATTATCTGCACGCAGGAGTGAACCCAGCTAGCAGAGTCTAATCACCTTCAATTTTCTTTGGAATTGTCTTAAGACTTGAGATCTCTGTCACCAGCGATGGGTATAGTGGCACTATACATCCTATTTAGATTAAACACATGTGTAATTTCTGGACTGTATTTTCACTACTGTTGAACCGTGAAAGGGATTAGCAGAGAATGATACCGGAAATTTTCGTCATGTGAGGAGATTATACACGGGGAGGATAACCTAAGAACCCAAGCCAAAACATTGATAAGATATACAAAAGATAGTTACAATAACTTTTGCATATCTGAGCATTGAAACATGCAAGACATTTTTTAAATATTTTGTCAATCATAGAGGTGCTAAAGACATTCAAAGTTTGCTCTCATGAAAGCATGGGTGCCTTCCAAATAGTTTGACCCAAATGTCACAGATATCTGGCAGAATAACATGAAGAACATATTCAAAATATGTTTTCGATATCTGGGCCTGGAAAAATTAGGAGGTATTCAAAATGTGTCCAAGCTATGTCTTGAGTATACTTCACAATATGTTTCCCATGTATTTAGAGTTTAGGGTGGCGGGACACAAGGCACATGCTCAAAACACACCGGGATTACGGACATTTCGGGGCAGCCGATGTTAGTTTCGATACGGCACGTGGCCATTTCGGGCGCGCCGAAATGCATCGGCCTTCCCATATATAGCAAGCCCGAAGCATTTCGGCGCACCCGGAACGAGCACGTGCCATATCGAAACTAACTTCGGGTGCCCCAAAATTCCTGTAATCCCGGTGTGAAAGGGATTCAAAATATCTTTTCAATGTCTGGGTCTAGAAATATTAGAAGGTATTCAAAATGTGTCCTGAATATGTTTCCAATATCTTCCAAGATTGGTTTCATGTTTCTCTAGAGTTTGTGATCCAGGGATATAAAGCACATATTTGAAAGAAGTTCAGAAGACATTTAAAATATCTACTGTATGTTCTGGCACAGAAAATGGAGAAGAGTTTTAAAATGTGTTCCAAGTGGGTCTCAAATATCCTTTACAAGTGGTTTAAGATGTGTTCAGTATATAGAGAAGAACAATATACAAAGGTAATTCAAAGAAAATTGAAAAATACCTCCTGGGTGGTTTCTGCCTGAACATGTGAAACTTCTGTAAGAGTTTTTCAATATAAACTCTGTGTACATCTAGGACATCTGTCACAGACATTTTCAAAATCTTCTGGGTATCTGTGGCACAGATACCATGGAAACATTTAAAATGTATCTGGCATTCATAAACACAGGACATCTGAGAGATACTGTGACCTTGGCACACAATATGTTCAGGGTGCCTTGTGAGAGAGATGGGGAAGTTTTGTGAATTATATGATAGAGGATGTATGACAGATATTTTAAATGTTCATGATGCTCTGCAATGAAAGATTTCAAAGTCTGAAAGGGTGCAGGTCAGGAGCAGCTAGCCCACCCTAGGGATTCCTGGAAGTTTCGACCCACGTCACTACATTGAAGCTGCTTTGTGGCGGGTTCAAACTGATTAGCGGAGTCTCTGAGTGAGGGTATAAAGCAATACCACTTGGAGGGAGTCTGAAGGAATGCTCTATGGATGCAGGAATGATCAGCTGAGAGTTTGAGCTGCTTGGCGGGTCTCAGACCGGGCATCTGAAGCAATATTCTGTGTGTGCAGGAATATTCAGCTGAAGTTTTAGCTGCTTGGCGGGTCTCAAACCTGGTGTCATATACTTGGCAAGGCTCAAACCTGGTGTCTGAAGCAATATCCCATGTGTGCAGGAGAATTCAAGCACTCAATCTGCTCGGCAGATCTCAAACCTGATGTCTGAAGCAATATCTTGTGTGTGGAGGAGATCTCAAGCACTTGATCTGCTTGGCAGGTCTCAAACCTGGTGTCTGAAGCAATATTTGGTGCATGCAGGAATGTTCAAGCCCTCAACCTGCTTGGCAGGTCTCAAACCACATGTCTGAAGCAATATTCTGTGTGTGGAGGAATGTTCAAGGCCTCGATCTGTTTGGCGGGTCTCAAACCAGTTTTCTGGAGCAGTATTTCATGCATGCAACAAATCTGTGGCTGAGGTTTCAAGCTGCTTGCCAGAGCCCTTGATCTGCTTCCCAGGTCTTGAACCTGGTGTCTGAAGCAACATCTCATGTGTGGACGAATGCTCAAGCCCCCAATCTCCTTGGTGGGTCTTAAACCTGGTGTCTGAAGCAGTATTCCATGCATGCAGGAATGTACAAGCCCCCTCACTGCGGGGATCAAAAAATTTTACCCCAGGAAATTGGGCCTAGAACTATGATGTTCTCTTTCCTGGACAAAATTTTACCTACAGAAATTTGATGGTATGATCTAGCCTGTTTCCGGTGAGATTTCGACAAGAAACATACAAAGTCTTTCTCACAACAAAGCTGCCAGAAACAGCCCAACTTTTGCCGCAGTCTTTCCAAAGGACAAAGACAGAATTTTGAGGTGGGAAAAATTGCGAACAATGGGCACTTCTTTGTTTTCCGAGGGAAAACAGTTTCCCCCCGGAAAAAGACTGGCTATGTCCGATGGAAATTCTGTCGGAACAATCAATCTTTTACCTTCGAGTTTTTCTGGGTAAGATATCATAGGTTACTGAAGGAAGCTATGGATGAAAAAGCTGAGATTTTTCCATCAATTTCCCCCCGAAAAAAGTTTGGCCAGGAAATTGAACATCATGGTTCTAGGCCATTTTTCCTCAGGTAAGATTTTTCGATCACCGCAGTGCCTTTATCTGCTTGCCAGGTCTCAAACTACATGTCTGAAGCAATATTCCATGCATGCAGGAATGTTCAAGCCCGTGATCTGCTTGGTGAGTCTCAAACCCGGTGTCTGAAGCAATATTCCATGCATGCAGGAATGTTCAAGCCCTCAATCTGCTTGGCAGGTCTCAAACCTGGTGTCTGAAGCAATATCTCATGTGTTGAGGAATGCTCAAGCCCTCAATCTGCTTGGCAGGTTTGAGAAATATTCCGTGCACACAGGATCTTCAAGCACTCAATCTACTTGCCAGGTCTCAAACCTGGTGTTATTCCACTGATGCAGGAACTTGGCCATGCTCCCATCAGATCTGTCTGCCTTTGTTAGCCCCCAACACCGTTGAACCCAGAGTGTAGTACATATTCCCCAAAATGTAGCTCACAATATCTCTCAAATGTCCTGTGTTTATAAATGCTGAACACAGTTTAAATGTTTTCAGGGTATCTGTGCCACAGGCACCCTGAAGATTTTGAAAATGTCCTAGATGTACACAGAGTTTATATTGAAAAACCTTTACAGAAGTTTCACATGTTCAGGCAGAAACCACCCAGGAGGTATTTTTCAATTTTCTTTGAATTACCTTTGTATATTGTTAGGGCAATCAGAGTATTTATTCAATCAAGGAGGTCTCTTAAAATGTTAAAGCTGAAAATTGAGGAAAGGACTCGGAAAGATTGGAGATCAGATCAAGACGGGTGGGCTGGGTCCCACACAATTTTGAGGTTCCAGATACCTTGTCAAGCAAGGTAACCTTTGGCCTTATTTGGATGGGTGCCTACCTTGCCACAGTTGACTGGCTGTTCACTGCGTTCCCGGGGCCCGTCGGCACAGGGTCTGCTGAGGCGCCATTGGCTGATGTCGGCAGACCTGGAAGTCAACATGCTCTGCCGACGTCTGCCTCTGTTCAGAAGCCTGCACTCAGGCTCAAATATCGATTGAATTTTGCCCTGGCTGTGAGCGGCATGACCACCGTGTGTTGCCGTCATCACTCTTGATGCCCTGGCCACAGAAGTCGCCGCTGGCTGATGTCAGCTAGGTTAATTGCAGGTGGTAAGCACCTTGCAAGCAAATTGCAAAGGGCATCCGTTTTATTTGGAAACTGGAGTCTCGGCAAGGTCAGCTATTTATGGAGGGTCTCGACTCGGCATCTATTCTAAATCTGTACATACGTGAGAGTCGGTGAGACGTCTCCACGGCAACCGGATAGCTGCCTGTGGTGCCGACGACGTGCCAACCTCCGTTGTTTGAGGAGGGTGAGCAGGGGCAGAGCTCGGCAGGCTTGGTCGACCCCGCGCACACAGATGTCGGCGGAGGGCTCAGCTCAAGTCAACCCAGCTGTGCTGATCTGATGTCGGCAGGGTCTGTGGAGCCCGCTCGGAAGACGTCAACAGACGTCAGCAATCGTCCACAGGCTGTGCCGACGGGCCCCCAGAATGCAGTGCGTTTCTAAGCTGGAAAAAGAGGAGAAAATTGCAACCTTTCAGCTTTTGATGGAATTATAAGGATTAATTCGTCCGAATGCTTTCCAGATCATAGTTAGGGCATCAATCCGTCCCGTAATTTTAGGAAATTATGGGCTGTAAATACGGTTACACCCCCGTACCGTCTCACACTTTTGAGGAAGAAAATGCATCTGTTTTCTGACGGGTTGAAACCGTTAGCTCTATTTCCTTCCACCACGTCTATTGCTTACCAATGAATTGAGAACGGTATTGGACTAAGTTGCAAGCTATAAAAAAAATGCATGTGAGCTTCAGTAGTC